TTCTCTTCTGATCGTTCGGTAACCCAGCCGTACCGGCTGGGTTACCAACCAATCATCATCGTCCATAAAATACAGCAATTATTGCATACTTCGTATGCAATAACTATATATTATTTCGCAATGCATTTGAAAACCGTATTAAAGTCCTTCAAGATCCATTAAATACAACTATTAGAACTGTTAAAGTTCATGGATCAAAAAACATTTAGCTTACCAAATCTTGAAATATTGACAATAAAATTTGCTAATATGTTCTATCAACTGAATATATAACATAACATAATTTGTAATTTACATCAGATATTGGATCTTCGAAACTGTGATGCGTTCATTAAAGAATTGAACTTGTACAACACGAATTTTTTTCGATCCAGTCATGTCAAAACCAATCGTCACTAATAAATTTCTAATCAAGTTCAAGTTTATTTAATTTCACTGATTAGCCTTCCAGGTAGAGGCTTAATTCTATCTGTCACATGAGTTAAAATTTTTCTTTAGGGTTCAGTCCGAATTGGATAATATCTTCAAAATTATAAGTGTGCGTGAAGCTTTAAAAGCACAATTAGTGTCATAAATAGGTAATATAAATTGCTACAAATAAAAAAGGCAATATTTTGAGGAAGTAGCTGTCATTACAATAATCACGTTTGCAATTAGAATATACAGTATATTAGACAAATTTTCGTCAATTAAAAATTTGATGTACTGTACGTACGTACTTACGTACGTGAGTTTAAAATTTATACCGATTAAAATATAACGTACGTACGTCAAATCTTAATGCATGTTTAATAAGTATTTTAAATGGCTTCAAATACTTAATTAGTCCTTTCATTTTTTTCCCTTCAAATCTCTGAAAAATTATTTACAACTATATGAATAATCGAAAAAACAAAAGGGATCATTCAAAGTACAACTTGTTTCGTAAACCCACCAAGTAAACACGAAAACCCAAGCTTTAAATATTGAATTCTTAATATCTTTAAATCAGTTGAAGTTGAAGTTATCGAGAAATTGAACGTTCCAGATAACATCATCGTAGCACTTAAGTTTGTCGTATTGAAGACTTTTATACCGCCACTTGTTAAGCTCATTAAGAAGATGGCGGCCAAGACAAAACTTGGTTAAAAAAAATTATATATTAAATATTTAAATCGTTATTGTTTTATAATAATAATTCAGATCTAGTCTAGCAACGAGTTAGATCCGTTAGGCGTTAATGACTTTCCAAATCTCGACATAATTCCAGTGGGTAAGTCATCTCTTTACGAAATGCTGGAGCTCAACAAATCAATGCGACCAATAAAACCTCTTCAAAATATCACAAACGAGGTAAGAAACTGATAAAGATACAAGAAATAGGGGTTGCCGTCGTAATAAAACAAATTACGAAAATAAGTGCTGTTCTTGTCGTAGGAACAGTTTTCTTTGTACTTTTCCATGGTTGCGCACGCCAAAGTAAAGTCATTAAGTTTATTCTTGTGAAATTTCCTGTATTAGCTTAGCGTTTTACCTTTATCGAAATGGGTTAAAGTAGATTTTAATGTAAATGCAACGATTAAATAAATATCGTGTATAGTTTGCATGTAGTTAAAAAAAAGCAATAACCCATTTGAATTGGTTTAAATTCATGTTGATGGTGATATTAACAAGGGATTATATTAAAGTTGATATATATGAAGGAATTTTAATATATAAAAATTTGTAAAAATTCATCTTATGACTTGGTTGATATTAACGAAGTTGATATTAACGAGGGTAGACTGTACCGATAAATGCCTCCTCTCTTTTTTTTTTTTTTTTTGCTTTGTTATTTTGAATCGACAAAAATTTGAAAGTGACGTCTAACAATTTAAGATATAAATATTATATTCTGGTTGAATACAGAAATATGCTGGAAATAATTAGGTGTTAGCATATCTTTTATAAGTCAGCATTTTCAAAGATATGGATGTATTGAAAAGCTTCCGTCATTTTTTCAGAAGAATCACGTTCACTGAACATGAACGATACAAGATATTTTAAAACTTTAATGAAAAAACCTGATTGATATTTTATGAATTACAATCCGAGATGAAACTCTGGTTAGACTTAAAATTAGTCTTATGACAATTTGAACCAACTTGTACATACAAATAAAAGTAATATTTTATTTATATACCAATTTGTGCAATATGTTTATTATAAAGGTCTAATTAATATATAATGCCTTTTTTATATTTTCTTGTTAAGAATTATTGACACACTAAACATGTTGAATAAGCATTCGGACGAAAATTTAATAATGTAGACATTATTGTTACAACGACCTGTAAACCAATTATGATACAGAAATAGTTTTTATTAAACAGATTATGCCGAAATTACAAACTTAATCGAGTCGGCTGAAAAATCATTCGGCCAATTTTTATCGGGTGTTCCAGGAATTATAAATATCTGTGGATATCGCTACTATACTTACGTACGTACGTAATCGTTGCTTAACAGTTAACTGTTTAAACTTGAGTATATGAAATTTACAAAATCAAAAGAGAATTAATTAATCCCAAAGTGTTGGTTTCATACTATCGACTTAGAAATTTCAATACATAAAATGTGAAAGGAGGTGCTTCAATTTTATAACAAACTCTAATGAGCTTATAGTATGATCGTGCGTACTTTATATGGAGCTCATCGAGTGATCAGCACTTTGGGAGGCTGACCGACTCGGCGAACAAGCCTCTGTCTGTTTAGTGATACGAGCCAATTGGATCAGTTATAATAGAACAGGCGACCAACTAATTATGATTATTAATTGATTTATAGTCAGTTGCATAGTACTTTTGGCTACATCGAGAAAATAGACATCTTTGTCAAATACGTAGTCAATGAATTGGTTTGTAATCGATCACCTAATATTTTGATAACGTTTCAACTACAGTAATTCGGTTGTTGATTTATATCTCAAGCTCTTTATCTCGAACTGCAAGTCCAAGTTCTGCGGATGAAGCTTTCATGGAATGTATCGAAGCTATCGAGTCCAACCTATAATATGATAACATTATCAACAAAGCTAACAATAAAGAGAAAAAATGGTGGTTCGATGGGAATTATAGGGTTATCAATGAGAAAAGGTAGTATTATTGTGCATTATCAGTTTTCTATTGATTATGCTAAAGTTTTACTTATTTATTAGACTGCCTCTGCGTCTAATTAAAAATGTGACATACCATGATTATGAAAAGAAAAGTGAAATTGCGACTGTAGGGAGTTTGACGATGGTGTTGTGATCATATATGAGTTACCAAACCGTGATCACGAAGTTGCATATGCGGAATTCACTTTACAATTTATGTCTGCTTTTGCCAATCTACCATTTAAAAACCGCATTACTGCTATTGGAGCAGCAAGTATGTATCCTTTAATGCTTTTTGATCATGTATAAATATCATTAATTCTGTTATATCCAGCATGTTTTTATCTATTTTATCTAATGACTTTTATTCTTGATAGTGCTATAAGTTTTGTCGACATGCAAGCCTTCAAGCAGAGGAAGCACAAGAAGGTTCCGGCCAGTTCAAACGGTATGAAACCTGTGCATTTTATAATGTTGATCCTATCTTGTCTTACAATATTTCTCTATGCCTATATTTTTATAGCTCGAATTTGGGACCATCGATAGATGTAATGCACCATATAATGGCTGCTCAGCTCCGGGAATGTGTACAGTGACAATCACACCAGCATGTGTTTTTAAAGGCTGTACTCCACCATATCCGCTTTCTGAGGACGTAATTATCGATTTGTTCTATATCCAGCAAACAGTTTTTGATGCGCAATAATTCTTATAGGCAATGCAAATAATCATTTAACTGACTCTGGATACGAAAATTTGATTACTATAACTAATAAATTCTATATAGTCACATCAATAGTAAATAATAAAATATTGTGACTATCTAAACTATTTTTTAATCAGCCGCAATAAGGCGAAGCAAAGTAAATTTTCTGGTTTCCATATCCCAGCCGGGTCAATTTTTTTCAATTCAAAATTTAAAATTTTTTTATTTAGTATATATTGAATATAAACTTTTAAAAAAATTATATCTGTATACAATAACAGATAGATATTTAAGTAAAGATTTATATATAAAATTTAGAAACAAAAGCCGGGTTTTTTCAAAAGTTTTAATGATATTGTCACGGGCTAGATTGACATCATAGTTAAACAAGTTTATAATTTAGAGCCAAAGGCTTAGATAATTTATAATATACCTCGGTAATAAGCAGATCTCGGCCGATAGAATTAAGCCACTATACAATAAGGTGAGTTATGTTTAAGCCTCATTAGTCCTTTAATGTTATATAAAGGACGTAACTTAGATAAGGTTGGTTACGACATTTATGTGCGAGGAAGCTCACTAATCTTATAATAATTTCCCTTATATTATACCAACTATATTTTAATATATAGTATAGAATATCGAGCATACGATTCACCCCGTAACAATATATATATATATTATATACACATATTTAATCTTGTATGTTATTTTACAATCGGTACGTATAATTTTGTAAAATATAAAATTTTAAATTTGCATGTCAACTGCAGGCTTTAGTATTTTTGACAATGGTTTTACTTAAACTGATTGCTTCTTGATGAAATAAGAGTAGAGTATTTATTCGGATATCCGTTTACTATCGATATCTGGATAATTAGATTTACTCATAGTCATGAAACTCGTTAACTCGAAATAAATAATGAAATTTGCACCTTATTTTCCATGAAAAAATGATTAGTAAAAAGTACACCACACTCGTGATCGATAGTAATTTATTATAAGAATATACGAGGTTACTTTGACAACGATAATAAATTTATTATCGGTCGGTTTTTTTCTATAATAATAACAGGTTTTTTAAAAAATTATCTATTTTAATTAATACGTACTTACAGTACAACAAAAATCATGTGCATCCATTACTAGTTCTAATAACAATTATATAGGGTTGAATATTTGTTTAGAGGTAGCTTTTATGTAATAAAACGAGCAATAAACTAATACAGTAATTTGGAGTTTATAATAATTATTAATATGTTGGTGCATTTAATTAGTCTAACAATGTCCGTCCAGTTTATATCATATTAACAGCCCTAGTTTAGATTACCCATTCAACACTACTAATTTTTCTTTTCTCTCAGGTATACTGCGGTAGCTCGACTGGTTCACGATGGTACGTGTGTGATCACAGGTCAAGAAATACACATTTTGATTACTTATTTAGAAGATAGATTTTAATATTCTTATATAAATTGTAAGAATAAGAATTACGCAGATATTTTTAGAACATGATCGTACAGCATAGCATTATTCTTCAACACACTCTGGTTACTTTATTTAGCAAGAAACAAACATGTTGCAACCAGTAATGACAAAACTATTTTAGGTAAAAGATGAAAAAACAACGTGTTAGTTGTACTAGGTTGGAAAACACCTTTCACTTGCCCGTTCCTGGTATACACGATTTATCACTCCCGCAGCTAGCCTACATATCAGATATAAAATGATAAATATCATGTATACTCGTACGTACATAAAGTACACACACGTAAAGACATTATCTGTTATTAAAAATGCAAAACTTAGAAACAATTGTGTTTGTGTTTGTCTGTAATAATTTGCGGCCATCAGATCTTCTTGCGATGGCATGCGTGTGCAGAACTTTCAAAGGTATTCTAAACGAAAGAATCTTTCCATTAGCAAAAGATATCTGGAGAAATTCTAGAAATAAATTTACAATTTTTCGAGAAATGGATCCGCCATCAGGAATGAATCAACAAACTTTTGCGAGACTATTAACTGTAGAAAATGGATGTCAATTTTGTCAAACTAAAGAGGCGTTTAAAATATATTGGAATCCTGGTGTTCGTTCTTGCGTGAAATGTATATCCCATAGAGCAACAAGGTAAATTAATTTACTATTTTACACACACATATACATATTTTTTTATAATAATTTGAATCCGAATAAAATTTTATTAATAATATATAATAGTTCTGTTGAATTCAAATATACTTATGATGTCGGTAATGTTGATAAAGTTCTTGGACTTATTTTTCCAGTAATACCAAGCATAGATTTTGTAGATTATTATTGGACAGACCATCTAAGGAATACCATTACGTTTCTTAAGCTTCTTAAGGTTGCTAGTGCTAATGATGATATACAACGCAAGTTAAATGACTTAAAAAAAGAAGTCGAAGAGAAAAATGAAGAAGCCATATATTATGAGAAATGGACATGTGAAACCTATATTAAAGATCTTTTTTCAAGATTCCACGCTGAAATTAATGAAGAGACTTTACCCAAGTTGAAAGAAGATCACGAATATGATGAAATGGAGCATGAAATTAAACGTGCTCCATTTCTAATTCCAAATAACCCCGAATATGATTATTATTTAGAAAGAACTAAACAAATCGCCCAAAGAATTGAGTTTAGCCCCCAATTAATATGTAAACGAAAAGCAATCGTTAAACAGCTAAAGAATTTAACGTATGGCTCAAAAAAAAAAGACAATCAAATAATTAGTATTAAGGATCCTGGATATAAATTCTTTTCAAGATGTCCATGCTTCATAAATCCACAGGATTTTAACTTGAATAAACTATTAAAAGAAGCAGAGGAAGTAAGTGCAGTCCCACCAGATTTCCTAGAAACTGGTGGGGCGCTAATAACAGGTAAATTAAAATTAAGATCCATCTTCCAATGTAAACTCTGTAAAAACTCCACGTTGTATAATTTTAAAAAACTAGGATCGCATTTAAAAACTGTACATAGTTTAAGTGAGAGCAATCTAGAATTAGTAATTTCAGCATTAGAAGTGAATTCCGATGCTGTAATTACAAATTTACACCACTTATTTTTTTAACTTTAATAAAATTACTGCAATTGTTTACTATATATTTAATGGCATTGATTTAGTGCTCGTACTCGGATAACTCTTTACCCGAAAGGTTGTAACCTTTAACTAAATCCAATAACCGGTTTTATATCCTATTCAGATAAAATGATAACGGTTATATCCGGATAAGATATTTATATGAATTGGTTGATTTATATAAATTAATGCATCAATCAAGAATTCACGAATTTAACAAATTAGAACCTTCGCAAATTAATTTAGATGAAATGAATACTTAATTGAGTAAAATAAATGTTGACTCTAGATTTTTAATATATAATAAATCATGAATCAATTTCGACCAACTCACCGACAAACATTATAAGTTACCGGTAATTAATTCACAAACAAGGTTTATTTTACAGATGATTAATTCACAGACAAGTTCATTTGATAGACATTATATTTCACCAATAGCTCATTTCATAAGTTTTTTTAATAAATTGCACTAACCTTAAGAATATACCAGAATTATATACTTTGTATATGAAATGAGTTGTCGTAAAAATATACTATACTATCCACGAATAAACTTGTCTTTGAATTAATAATTGGTAAAATAATTTTGTCTGTAAATTAATTGTAAGTGATTATCGGTGAAATAATGCAGACCCATAATGAATAGTGAACGACAATATTAGTGAATAAATCAAATATCTATAAGATATTAGGAGCTGCTTCCACGGCCCTAAACCATCTTACAGATACTTGACTTACCGATTGATTTATATTACTATATCAACATTTTTTTACCTACTGTAAGTTAATTTATATCAACCAGTTTCGTCTATTAACAATTAAAACCCTAAATGTGAAACAATGAAATTAATGAAAAGTAATGAACTGATGAAAGGTGACAAAACGGAAAGTATGCATGAAACGTGCAAAACTGACAAAACTAATGCATTCAAAAATATGTCCAGGTTTACATAATAATAAACCCGCAACAATCAGGGCTATAGAATTTATCTCATGAGTTACGTAAATTGACTTCATATTCTCTTTATAAAAAAAAACAAAAAATAATAATGATAATAATAATGCAAACCGATTCGTTTGACTTGCCTGATTTACCTACTCTACTTCAAAAAATATTTCGATCTAATAATTCTTATAAAAAAAAAAAATTATATTGAACTTGAGCCAATGGTTAAATCTGAAAAAATAAATTTGGACAGCTTAAAGTAGATTTATGTGGATCTTAACAGCTAAGGCCTTAATTGGCTAAACGAATTTCAGGAAATATCAAAGATTACTATGTGGCTAAGAAAGAACATATCACCGGGCAAACTGGCCGCTTATCTCTATCAATGAAGTTCTACTATAAAAACCGAATCAATATAAAATGAAGCAAAAAATTCAAGTACTACCAGCATAAATTCAATGAAAAAAAGCGTAAATTTCTCAAAATATCGAGCAAACTATAATGAAAACACATAAAAAAGAAAAACTTACAAAAAAAAAAAAAGTATAATTTATCAAAGAACATTAACACATGCAAACAAAATTGATAATAATATAAAAGTTTTTAAACGTTCATAAATGTATACATATTATTATGTGTTGTAATACATACGCGAAGTATATAATTAATGAAAAATATATATACAAATTAACCGTGTGCTAAATCAAACTTTCAAAAATTTTTTGACATAATCATCCAGAATGCAACCTGGTATACATTTTCGATTTGCATTTGTTCAGAAGATTGGAAATATTCGTGAAGAATTTATCAAAAATGAGAAGACACTTTCAGATTTAAATAAAGAATATGGAATAAAATCATATAATAGAGATACAGGTGAAATTTACTTAAAATACAACACAATACTGGATTTAAAATCCGGGTTGACGGGTCATGGCCTTATTATTATCGTTATTAATTAACGCAATAAATTTTTGGCAAATCCTAGTTATACAAATTACAAAATGAGAATTCAAGGTGTCACGTTTCTTATATATCATATTCTTGATCATGCTCATAATCATGCTGCTCAGCAGAAAAAATTTGGTAATTTTATATACTATTTGCCCTTTAATACTTTTTAAATAGGTTTATTAATTTATTTTCTTATAGCTATTATCATAATTCCTGAAACACCTGATAAAAATTAGCCGAATAATTTTTCGGCCGATTCGGTTAAGTTATAGATTTTGGGAATAAGATTCAGTAACAGATACGTAATTTAATAAGATCAGATGACTAACGAAGCTTTTATTTATTTCTTATTATTTTTCATTTCTTGTCGAAGATGAAAAATTAGGTTTTAAAAAATTGTGTAAAATTTCAATTCCCATTCTTTGGCAAGATCCATTTTCGTTCAAACGAAA